TCTTCTACGTTTAAGAAGCTTTGACAGTGAAGTGCATCGTACGATAAACCTTTCTCGTCTTCGTGGAAAAATTTCACCAATAAGTCTAAAGCTTCGTGAAGTCTCTCGTAGAACATCGCTGGCTTGTCCTGCAAAGGAACAGATTTTCCAATAAATTCGACCCATATCAATACCGATACTATTTCTATCATTTTCAATTATGAAACAAATATTTTGGACACTAATATTAATGAATACTTAATTTTGGAATTAAAATACTTGAAATTACAATTATTTAAAAGCCAAAAGAATTAAGTCAGCTTCTTATAACAATTAGAATATCAATAATTGTTTCCAACAATCGTATCCCATAAATTGATAAAAATACTCTATCAAAATTACTTACACCCGCATTTCCATCCATCTGATTGCTGAGCACAGCCAGTACCACCTCCCAGATGTCCTGGAGGACTCTATTAAAATTGACAGTAAGCAGAGCCGAATTCAGTACCACCAGGTGCATGTCTAAATACTCGAGCAATGGCGCGATAGCTTCAGAAGTGGGCAAACTATCCGGTGACCAGGCCAGATGGAACATGGCTTTCTTCAACGGTGGTCTCATCTATAAATCGAATACAGACTCAACGTTAGATCAATAGCATAAAATCAATCTTGATCATTTTACACTTTAAAATATACCGACATGAGACAATACCGATCATTCACAATCTTTTGTCTAATTTCGAATTCATAACACATCAAGGATGTCTAGAATTCCATATTTTTTCGTGCTAAAAATAGAAACCACCCCTTCTCCAATAAATAAGAAAAGGATCGAATTTTCTTTAACAGGAGAAAATAATTTTTATTCGATGGTTTCGTATTTTTGCTAAAAATGCCGACCTTCGTGCCGATCCTTGAGACGATCTGATTTATGAACAGTAACATTTGTCCTGGTGTCTGCTCCAACGGTGACGTCAAAGCGGACTGCATTCGCGCGGAATCGCCGGCTTGGCACTCCAAGGCTGTCAGAAGCTTCTCGATCAGCAGCTCCTCGCCTAACTGCAGAAGCCATCTTCGAACGTACTCGAGGCCGTTGATAGCCACGCACATCTACGAAATCATTTCAAATCAGTTAATGTTACAGGTCCATCTATGAGCGCCGACTTCATGTGTGAGAGATCATTTTACTCTAATTTACTTTACACTCTTATTAAGTTTGAGATCAACAAGGTTCTTGTTACTGAAGATGATTCGAAATACATTTTCTTTAGGATTTTCTAAAAATCCTGTTACACATTTTCGAAGTAAGAATTCGGTAAAGATGTATAAAAAATATACATAAGCTAGAAAGAGACGCTTAGTACTAATTTCTATATGTGCAGCAGTAAAGTTGCTTTGACATTGCTGTCCATGCTATTCTGTATCATTGATCATTTGCATATACGTCTGCATTGTACGTTTGCCAAGCAGAGTGCGACATACAAGCGTGTTTAAGACGGTCACCTCGTTCATTCTCATGGTAAAGTGTTCTCAATATCGCTCAGCTATCTTTGCAAAGCAGTGTCGTGTTTTACTAATGCGAAGCGGTCTCTACCTCAACGATTACCTCGTCTGTTGTCTTATACGGAGTTTGTTCCTCATAATAGCCGCTATCTGCTAGTTTCTGGTGGATGATTTCGGCGTAGTGAGCAGCTGGACTGCAAATTGCCTGTAATAAAAACGTGAAAGTTAGACAAATTATGCAAATATTAAAAAACTTTGGATAAAAGTTCGTACAACTCCACATAAATATATTATTAATCACTTAATTTACTGTTTATTTAGTTAGATCAGGACGCTATAGTTTTGAAGCAGATTTGTAATAGTACCACAGAAATAAATTATACTAATTACTCACATCCACGACTTTCAAGACCAAGTTGTACGACCCAGGAAGATCCGGCCAGGCTAACTTTTTCCAAAACTCTTTGATCTAAAAATATTTCGAGTCATAAATTTATTCCTGCTAATATTTCTCTCTGAAAAGATGATCTGTTGCTTGTATTATTACATTACTAAAATTGTATTTCTTTTTTTGGCTCATACCTGATAGAAGCAAGCTGTGACGTCAATGGCGGAGGTACCATGCTTCACAATGTATTCTCCAACACAAATCCGATCGAGTTCAGCCGATTTTCTCACGCGCTGGATCGCCTTCAATTTAGCCAGATCCAACCATTTGTCGACAGCTGGTCTGAACCATTCGTAATACTTGCAAATCGCCAAAGTTTTATGGTCGGACTGCGGCAGGGTCTCCTTCATGCTAAAAATATTACTCTCCGGTTACTCGAACAAGAAATGTCGCTAATATATCCTAACTTCGAAATTGCTCGATTAGACAGTTTATTTCATTACAGATTTATTTCCTATTCCGCTCTTCGAGGTTCGTATCTGATCCTCGAAATCGCGAAATATTATTTCTCTTCGAGCATTCGAGTCGGGTAATTCTGTCTATATAGTTACGTGACAAAATCCTGCAGAGCCAAGTACAACTCGAACATCGGGGTCCCGATTTCCGCTCCAGGTGGTAGCACATATTCTTCGTCCGGGTCCTGACCGTGAAGCTGAAGACAAGCTGTGGTGACCCTTGCTCCGAGCTCGTTTTGCATCTATCGAATACATTTCTTCCGATGAAACCGAAGGACGGGGGATGACCGACTGATTCTACTAGTGCTTCGAAAGTCTTTTCGCAATTCCACCAGTTTTCTCACCGTTTACGCAAGTTTCGTTATATACATATGTGAAGTTTGGTCGCTGAGATCTCTGAACAACGAATATCTTTTGGGAAAAGGAACTTTTCTTAAAAACTGTTTTGATAATTAATTATATCGAACAAAATCCCTATAAAAATTCCCAAAGATATCTGAAAAACAATCAGCTGCATTGCCCTCGTAACAAATCACACCAAGGGAAACCCCCTAACGACCTAACCACGATGAATCAAAATGAAACCACCCTCGACAACTGCGGGTCGTTTCGGCAACCCCGTGAACGGCAAGTTTCAGCAGTCTATCTCCCGTTTCGTCTCTTCGTCGAATTTCAAACGCGTATTGAACACGCGGATCACGCTTCCAAACGATATCGCGTGTTTCCAGGAAACGAGCATTAGCCGCGTGCAAGACAAATGCAAGTTGTCTCGAAACGAGGGCTGAGAGAACTGGAGGTTCGACCGGACAAATTATCGGGAGAAGGTAAAAGGTACGAGAGTACGAACACCTGGCAACTTTCGAAATTACTTCGATCCCACGGTAACTCGTTCCCCAGACGAGCTTTCAGTCGTTTCTCCATCGATGAAACGCGTTTTCAAAGGAAACGAACGTCTTTCATCGGAAATATCGGATAATTAATCCGTCACTTTGAAATACAAAGTTATAGCTGGGATAGGAATAACGCGTGGTATCAAAGACGATTCGAATGGAGTAAAGTTTATGTTACGTATTTATCTTCGTGTTCTATTGCATTTCTAACGATTTTCGAGCGTTTCTCGTTCGTTCTCGATGAAGAAACTTCTCGATTAGTTGCGTTTTTAGATTAACTTGCTGACAGAAAGATGAAAGAAATTCGATATAAAGTGGAAAAATTATTATTCTAATACTGTTAGAATAAGGTGACTGAGAAATAGCGAAATTTTTAAAAAATACTACGATACTGGTATATTCTACATGGAAATTAAGTACAGTGCGGATATTCAATTAACGCACCACCTAACGACCCTCTGTTTAAGGAACCCGAAGATCCCGAGCAACTTTCATTATCGCAGCGCGATATTCGCAAAGAATAAAATCGGATGAGAAAGTATGGTACATATTTCTCACTTAGGAGCTGACGTTAGTAAACGTCCCGTATTACGATAACGAAGACAAAGCGAGAATGGCTACCTAAGCACGGAAGCTTAGCCGGTATACTACTCGTTTAGGATAAGCACGATCTCCAATTTTTTTCCGAAATGTACTACTCGCCACTTCTATTCGAATATTTTCCTCAACTCTTTCGTACGAATTTCCTCGCGATTATCCAAGGAAAAATGAAAAATATAATAAAAATTACGAAACTCCCATGATCGCTGTCAAATTTCATCATCATCATCATTACCAACCCATTAACGAAAATACAATTTCCTATGCGCGAAATAAGCTCAATTTCCATCGTGAAAGATTAATTTTCGCCAAACAATAGAGGGTAATTACTCCCTCATCCCTTCCCAAATTCTTCCATCATCAACCCTTTATCTTCCATACGATTTTCCATACACGAGAGAGGGTTGGTCCCTGATACGATCTTTAGCACACCTGGTGACTCGTGAAACGTTCGTCTGACACGCGGAAGATCCGCAAGACAATGGTTTGAGCGCAGGAAGCAGCATTGCAGGGTTTCCCTTGGGTTGACGAAATTGGCGAAATTGTATCCCAGCGACTAATACGTTTGGGAAACTTGCGTAAAAGTGATGGACACCCTACAGAGAGAAAGGTTAGTCGGGGGCTCGAGAGGAACGTTTAAGTGGCTGTGCGCGGGAAGCACATCGCTGGAGGTGCAAGAAAACAAAAGATCGATCCGGATACTTGATATCCTGTGGCTACGGGGAAATTATTATTCATCCTATATCGTTCTGCTTTCTTCCGGAAGTTGGAAAACGTACGAGAGTGATGCGGACGAAATAATATTAATTTTGACACTAATCCACGTTTCTTAAGAAAGATCGAAATTTTAGATTCGAACCGAATCCAACTCCAGATTTGAAAATTCATTTTCCACGAAATTCAAAGAAAACTGGTATCAAACAGGCAATTTCATCAAAGTCATATCAAGAATCAATCTATTTCTTAATTTTTGTAAATTCACTAAAGAAGAAATAAATCCAGAAGCACTGTATAATGCACAATGTATATGTTACAAACCAGGTGATTAATACAGGCATTATTCATAATACTAGGGCAAAATCGGGCAATGTAATAAATTTGACACAGTTTACCCTGATTTATCACATTATCATTATTCATAAGTACCGGTTATTATGTATAATGACCTATTAGTCCATAGCATACATATAAATAACTATTTCCTGGTTTGCTAAGACCTTTTCATCGATAAACGTTCCTGCTTGACACCGCTGCTACCTCGACTCGCACCAATCGCGACGATTAAAAGACGAAGAATAAAATAACAAAGAAATCCTTCGTAGCACAGGAGACCAAGCTGAACCGGAAAATTCACCATCCAAGGTTCTCCAGCTACCCAAAGCTACTCGACTTGTCCGTCAAATTCTAGCAATTCTAATAAACGTGACAACGACAATGTTCGACGAGTACATGCATCGGTTTCGGTGTGTTCGCTGTGCAAACTGCGTGTCCGGTGTCCGGAAATTTACGCGGGAGATGCATGCGGAGCGTGTAACGTGTAAGCAGGCGAGTAGTAGCTGGCAAGTAGTTCCTCGACAAAAGGAGTATCGTGCAACCCCGGCTGGAAATAAAAGAGCTGCGAATGGAAAGCAACGTCATGCTTCACGGTGTGACCCTTCGCGTCTCCGGTGTCCCGTGAAAGATACGGTGAAAAATTACGCGCTTTGCATCAGCACGTTCGTGCGCCGATGGAACCGGGACCGAGTCGTCAGGACAGCTTCCTTTCAGCCATCGTGGATCGCCTTCTTTCATCCCTCGAACGCCGGGAAATTAAAGTATCGTAATTTTTGATAAATGCTTCGTGCCTTTTCCGCCATTTTTTTTTTTAGAAATTTCCAAAGGTGGCTTTGGTGATTTATGTTGCGATATCCGTGACGTGGCATTCCGAATTCCTTTACGTCCCTGAAATTTATTCCCCAAATTTTCCATCTTTCATTTCCTTCTCCGTTTTTTTCTTCTCTATTTTTACGATTAGGATATTTTTATTATATCGATTTAATTAGTCTTGCGTTCGTTTTGGAACGTTTGGAAGTATAATTTATGTACTTGTTTCACTTATTCGAATACGGCTTATATGGATTATGCAATAATTTGTTTACAGAGGTGAAATAATATTGGGCCCCGTGTGCCGACAAAACGATTATTATTAAGATTAATTTTCGCGTTGCGAATATTACGTTCAATACCTCAATTTGTTTTAATATCGTATGCAAAGCAAAATTAAATATCAGACTGGTAATAATGGTATTACTGACAGACAAGATAAATTGGAATTATAAACGAATAAACAAATTATATCGATGACCGAATTTTTCTGTATTCTATGACAGATAAATCGATGAAATTATTGCATCTGCCTGGTGGAAAATTTCTTTGAATCTGGATAACCATATCGTCGATTCGATCCCGTTTCCATCGCAGCTTCTTTCTCTAAACTAGCAAAGTACACTTATGGACACAGAAAACTTCATTGAGGACTACATACAGTGTAAACAGTAGGTTGTCGACTGTATTAACTAAAGAACATCGGTAGATAGTTATTTTCTTCAGCTGTCTTTGAGCCGGAAGAACATTTTCATTCATAGAGAAGTAACTTTTCCTTTGATCTTGTGAAACGTTTCTCATGTGCGCAAATAAAACCAGAAGTACTTTTATAACGGAGCACGTCAACACTTTTCAACTACTTTTACGATTTTCTCTCGCAGTCAAGCTTTTCAGTCAAAATTACGTTATCATAGATATTCGACTACTCAACTACTCTGTCAGGTGATCTTAATGAATCTCGGGTAAACCCGAGAAATACTAAAACTTTGCTAATGATTCAGAACTCGCGAGGAGTCAGTATTTACAAGTAATCATTGATGTAGAACGATATTCAAGAAACTACCAGCTAATCAACCGCCCATCGTTTCATTTGCGTGCGTTAATTAGAAAATTAATTCGTTCACGAGTGGATTTTCTCTTTTTTTTTTTTTAATTTCAGAAAATTGTAAATCTTTATTCGCACGTTAATTTATTTATTTATTTATTTAGTTTTTAGTCGGGAAACGTAAGCAAATGAAAGCAAGCGGCCTCGATACGACAATTCAATGTCACATATACAAGGAGATCGAAGAAGAAAGATAGAATAGAAAAAGAATAGGGTTTTAACAGTTCGTGGTGGCGATGAAAAAGTACCTCGGATGTGTTCTCCATGTGTTTCGCCACGTGTTCCGCCAGCTATGGACAAACATCTCGTGTACAGTAAGATCGCGATGACCTGACGGACAATTCAAACTCATCCTCAACATCGTCCGATCTTCGTTCAACCTGGCCTTCAGGTCACTGCGATTCGCTTATCTATAGGGTGTCCCTTTGACAGTCCTTTGCTTATCTGTACATTTATCCGCGATGTGCGAACGTTCAAATGCATTCGCTTCGCTTGCTGCAATTCTCAAATTCTTTTAATCAAATTTATTCTTTTGCCAAGCCGTCTGTGACTCATTTCTGGAACACCCTATATATAAAGAGTAATATGTTCTGTAGTTATTTCGATGCAAGGACGTCGACCGAATTCGCAGAGATCGAGATGAACTAATTGTAAAACGCGCTGCGAAATGATTCATAATTTTTTACACTTTTTTTAAATTTTATTTTCAGACGCGACGAAAATTTTCTTCCCATTTTGTTAATGTTTCGATAATGGTATTTGTCCGTTCAATTTTCACGAGGAATTTAAGGAAGAATTTAATTTACTTTCAAGTGCATCGGTAGATTTTTATATTCTTTTGGTATCGATCGAAAGTTTCGGAAAAACGCGATCGACGTCTTGAGTAAAGCATAAAGCCAAACATAGCACATCCAGCTTCACGAAACAGTGAAATAAAATATAGTCGTGTGTTATAATGATTGTGTGCTTTGATTCTGCATCGTCACGGTCTATCAAGTGAGAATATTTCATATATATGTATATATATATTTCTCGTTCGTCTTTCAGATTGTTGAAAATGATCATTTCTTTTTCACGCGCCAATTGCTTACCAGCTTGTCCAATTGTTTATACACCGCCGAGAAATATGGCACGCCGTTCGTGCTGGAACACAACATTTCATCTGTCGTTCGTAAGCCAACATATTAACAACATAATATTAATCGAATAATTTTTTCCTCCGTCATAGAACACTATTTTCCTTATCCAAAATTTCATTCCAATGAAGTATTTACGTTTCGTCGCTATTCGCGATTCATTCGTGGAAAAATAAAGGTCTCAAGTATTCCTGTGTAACTTTCTAACTTTCAATTGCGCGAATTCTGATTCAACAGACGTTTAATGATAAAATCACAAAGTTTAAGCGGAAGAAGAACAAAAAAAAAAAAAAAAAAAAGGGAAAAAAA